CAGTCCAACCCCCCCTGCAGGGAGCAGGGACACCTTTAACCAGATCAGGTTGCTCAGAGCCCCGTCCAACCTGGCCTGGAAACTTTCCAGGCATGGGGCCTCCACCACAGCTCTGGGCAACCCGTGCCAGTGCCTCACCATCTTCATAGTAAAGAATTTCGTCTAAATCTCCCCTCCTTTAGTTTAAAACCATTACCCCTTGTCCTGTCACAGCTGGCCTTGCTAAAAAATTGTCCCCATCTTTCTTATAGGCTCCCTTTAAGCACTGAATGACCGCAATCAGGTCTGCCTGCAGCCTTCTCTCCTCCAGGCTGAACAACCCCAACTCTCTCAGCCTTTCTCCACAGCAGAGGGGCTCCAGCCCTTGGATCATTTTTGTGGCCTCCTCTGGCCCCACTCCAAGAGGTCCATGTCTGTCCTGTGCTGAGGGCTCCAGAGCTGGATCCAGGGCTCCAGGGGGGTCTCACCAGAGCAGAGCAGAATCCCCTCCCTCGCCCCGCTGGCCATGCTTCTTTGTATGAATACCGGGGGTTACCCCGACCCAGGTGCAGGACCTTGCACTTGGCCTTGTTGAACCTCATGAGGTTCACACGGGCCCACCTCTCCAGCTTGTTCAGGTCCCTCTGGATGCCATCCCGTCCTTCTGGTGTGTCAACCACACTGCTCAGCTTGGTGCCTATGCCAGTGACGAAAATATTAAACAGTGCCAGTCCCAGTACGGACCCCTGAGGAACACCACTTGTCAGCACTCTCCATTTGGACACTGAGCCATTGACTGCTACCCTCTGGATGCAACCATCCAACCAATTTCTTATCCACCAAACAGTCCACCCATCAAGTCCATATCTCCCCAATTTAGAGAGAAGGAAGCTGAGGGGGACTGTGTCGAAGGCTTTACAGAAGTCCAGACAAATGACATCCGTTGTTTTTTCCTTGTCCAGTGATGCAAGTCACTCCATCATAGAAAGCCACTTGGTCAGGCAGGACTTGCCCTTGGTGAAGCCATGCTGGCTGTCTCGAATCGCCTCCCTGGCCTCCATGTGCCTTAGCATAGCTTCTAGGAGGATCTGTTCCATGATCTTCCCAGGCACAGAGGTGAGGCTGACAGGTTGGTAATTCCCAGGGTCCTCCTTTCTACCCTTTTTAAAGATAGGCAGAATGTTCCTTCTTCCAGTCCCCACGGACTTCACCTGACTGCCATGACTTTTCAAATATCATGGAGAGTGGCTTGGCAACTACATCAGCCAGTTCCCTCATCAGGTCCCATGGACTTATGTGTGTTCCTCAGGTGGTCACAGACCTGATCCTCCCATACAGTGGGAGTGGTTTTACCCTCCTGGTCCCCCTCATGCAGTCCATTGACCTGGGAGAGGTGAGGAGAGAGGTTAACAGTGAAGACTGAGGCAAAAAAGTTGTTGAGTACCTCAGCCTTCTCCTTGTATGTTGATACGAAGTCGCCATTCTTGTTCATCGGGAGCGTATGCTTTCTTTAACCTTCCTTTTCTGGCTGACATACCTGTAGAAGCCCTTCTTGTTATTCTTTGCATCCCTTGCCAAATTCAGCTCTAGCCATGCCTTGGGCTTCCTGACCCCATTCCTACAGAACCGGGCAGCATCCCTATACTCTTCCCAGGGTACCTGTCCCTGCTTCCACTGCCTGTGTGGTTCCTTCTTTCTCCTTAGTTTTACCAGCACGTCTCGACTCAGCCATGCTGGTCTCTTCCCTTCCTTGCCTGATTTCATACAGCTCGGGGCTGAGAGCTCTTGCACTCTATGGAACACATCCTTAAAGATCTGCTAGCTCTGCTCTGCTCCCCTGTCCCTCAGGACCATTGCCCAGGGGTCCTGACAAACTCCTTGAAGAGCTGGAAATGTGCTTTCCTAAAATTTAGTGTCCTGACTACTCCTCACTTTTCCCATGTCCCTCAGGAGTGTGAACTCCACCAATGCGTGATCACTGCAGTCCAGGCTGCCTCCAGTCTTGTCACTGATGAGCTCACTTGTGGTGGTGACCATCAGGTCCAGTATTGCATCCCCTTGGGTAGGGCTGTCTGTTACCTGGCTTAAGAAGTTATCCTCAATGCAGTACGTATTCAGCAGCTGAATTACAATTGATTTGAGCAATCTTAATTCTGGTATTTCCTGACTTTCAGGTCTTTGAGCTTTGGTGATACTCCTCTAACAGGTGTGCACTTGATGATTTTAATGTTTCATTTGCAGAAGTCGCTGGTTTTGCTAGGGAGATTTCTGTTTCCACCCGGCTGAATGGCTGACCAGCAAAGCTGACTGGTTATTCTGCAGAGGAAAGGCTGTACTGAGAATGATCTGAGGGTGGTTTTTCTATTACTCTGATCATGTAGTTTGGAAGAAAGTTTATTTTGGGTGGAATGCAGCAAAATGGTGTTTGGTATAGCTGCATAACTCCTCTGCAGAAGTCTTGAGCAAGGGGCTGTCTCCCTTTTGCAGTGCCCATAAATGAACGTCAGATGGCTGTGATAGAAGCTTTCCGCCATGCCTGGAAAGGATACAAGGATTTTGCCTGGGGCCATGACGAGCTGAAGCCTTTGTCCAAGTCCTACAGCGAGTGGTTTGGACTTGGCCTTACCTTAATTGATGCCTTGGATACCATGTGGATTTTAGGCTTAAAAGAAGGTAATTTTTTTTTCCTCCTCCATTTTTCCCCTCTAAAATAATACCTTATTTTCTGTTCAGGAGGTACATGTTCAGAGTTCTTTGAGGGGAACATTTATTATGTGGGGCCAGGACGTTTAGTTTTCCTGTGAGGGTAAATACATAGATATACAAATAAATATTAAAAAAAACCCCAGCTATATTAAAGGACACTGTTTTTCTTGGAATAGAATTTTGAGCCATGAAAATAATACTCCGCGTATATATTTTTACATAGAACAATGGATATATCTGCTAGAAACTGAGGAATGTATTAATATGCCTCCTGATTTTTGTTTCTGTACTAAAGCCTCAGCGCTGTCTTTGTGCCATTATATAGCCGCTGTAGGCTTTCTATTGCTCAGGCTTAGGTTTTGCCTGAAAGCTCCTAGGTGGTGTTTGATCACACCTAGTATCAATATTTCATATCTGCATTTTAGAAGGTTGTTTCTGTATCAAAGCAACGAGTGGAAAAGGGTTCAGTGCCGCCTTCCTGAACGGCTCTGATGTCTGTGTTTGTTTTCAGAGTTTTTCTGGAAGTGACTACCTTAGAAAGCTTTCAAACAGATTTTAAAAATTAAGCCAAAAATTCTGCAATTCTGTTGCAAAAAAATTGCTTAATCGGTATTTAAGAATAGTCTGGTTTTTTTCTTTTGTGGAGGGTTTTTTAGTGGTATTTAAACATTTCTGGAACTGTATCTATTTAACCTTGGTGGATAGCCACCTTATCAGTCATGCAATTTTTTGTGTCAAGATAGGAAGAACAGCGCTGCTAGTACGGGGACAATAAACACTGGAAGTCTTTCATGGTTCTCTTTCTTCTACCTTTGAAGTTCGTGTGAATCAAATGAAGATCATGTGCTCGCAGCTCTGGGCCTGAGCGGGCTGTCTTGAAGTTTCATCAAGTTGACAGTGTGCTGCTTATTTTTTTTTTTTCCCCTAAAAAATTAATTGTGAACTACATAAAGCTTTTAAAATAAATTATTAGTAATTTAGATGTGTTGGAAATGGTGAAGGCTTCTTCATATTTTATAGCCGTTCTTTTGCTGAGTGCCTTAGAAAGCTCCTGGGGTTTCTTCTGAATAACAAATGCTATACAAATGAAAGTTCTCTTTGAGGTTGCCAGTCTTTCTTATAAGCTGATGAATGCTTACACTCCTGTGAAAGAGGACCTTCTCTTTTCTACTGTACTGCTACACAGCACTAGCACCTGACAGCAGACGTTTCTCTGTGGTTCTTCTCAGTCTACCCAACATCCAGTGTTTAGAATAGAATCACAGAATGCTTTGGGCTGGAAGGGACCTTTAGGGTCACCCAGTCTGACCCCCCCTGTATGAGCAGGGACACCTTTAACCAGACCAGGTTGCTCACAGCCCCGTCCAACCTGGCCTGGAATGTTTCCAGGGATGATGTTTACCCAACATCCAAGATGTTTCTTCTAGTGAGGACACAGAGTCATCCTTTCGCTTTAGAGTTCATCTCCTGTGGAATACCTTCTGTTTCTGCGAAAATGGTTGTTCTTCTGTGCCTGTGCACAAGCAGGAGTTTCTGGAAGGTGTGAGAACCTTTGAGATAGCTTCGCCTTCGCTGCTAGAGGCAGGAGCTAACTCATGTGCGCCACAGAGTTAGACCCTCTGCAAAAGCAGTCGTTGAGTACTGCTGCTGCTAAGCTGACTGTTGAATCTAAAATGGCTTTTTTTACATTCCTTTTTGACTTAGTAGTGTGCTAAGCAACCATTTCTGTTTCTGGGAAAAAGACTGCAGACTGTTGGGGTTTTATGAGTTAAGTGCTGAAGTAGGAGGCAGGCTCCTCAGGACACAGCTAGGTCAATGGCTGTTAACCAAAAACGTTATCTGTTATCTGGGTAGGTAACAGCTTTGATTAAAAAAGATTTAATTAAGAAGTTCAGAAGGTGCTTGTGGAAGTGTAACTAATGTCTGACAAGTGAAATGGATGGACTTAAAAGATCTCAATTTCTGGACTATTTTAACAAACAATTCCTCAATTTCTTCTTCTTTTAGACTGTTAGGAACTTCTTATTTTGCTGAGTATTTCTGTTTCTATGCATCTGCAGTGCATGCTGAACAAGAATTAAGCTGATGGTAGTCAAACTTCGCCCAGCATATGCTCTTCATTTTAGTTTTCCACCTAAAATGATGATCTCTGTGGGCAGAAGTAAGTGTCGTGGGTATATGGAGTATGAGTGTCTCTAGTCTAGTTGTTGGAACTTGCCACAAGTTCATAACTGAACTGCCTTTTACACTTTGCAGAATTTGAAGAAGCAAGAAAATGGGTAGCAAACGAGTTAGCATTTGATAAAAATGTGGATGTGAACCTTTTTGAGAGCACTATTCGTATCCTGGGGGGCTTGCTGAGCACCTACCATCTCTCTGGAGATAGCCTCTTCCTGGAAAAAGCTGTGAGTGACTAGTCTTACAAATGAAACCGGGTTACATATTCCATATTGGACAAAGTCAAGGGAGGATTCATCAGAAAGTTAAATGTTGCTGGTGTTTAAGAGTTTCATATTTTAAGTGGTGGGAAAGGGATTTACCATTAATCTTTGAAGCCTGTGCTGCTTCTTGCTCTCTGGATAACCTCAGAGCCTTGCTGTAATTCATCAGGTATTCTTATATGCCTCCTCTTCTGTTGATGAAGATCTGACCATATGGCTCACAAAGAGTAATAGTTGTCTTTTGCTGCCCTTTCCACATGTCTGAACAGCATCAGCCACCTCTCAAATGAAGCATGCAATACTAGGAAGAGGGTAGAAACTGTAGTCTTTATGATGAATAAAGCCATGACCCTTTTAAATTCTTGGCTTTCTTGCACCATCTAAAACTAAGCTGCTGTTCTTTCTTTTTCTGTCTGCTTGGTGAAAGAAAATCTAAAGGGGTGTGCATGTGTGTGTATATATATATTTGTTTTGTTTGTTGTTTTGTCCTGTGCTCCTGCGTTTTCTTCAGAAAGACATTGGGAACAGGCTTATGCCAGCATTCAAGACCCCCTCCAAGATACCATATTCTGATGTCAACATTGGCCGGGGCACGGCGCATCCACCTCGCTGGACGTCCGACAGCACTGTGGCAGAGGTGACCAGTATTCAGCTGGAGTTTAGGGAGCTATCTCGTCTCACTGGAGATGAGAAATTCCAGGTATGGAAGAATCAGTCGATGTTTTTCTTTTTTTTTTTTTTTTTCTTCCCCCCCCACCTCTCTACAGCTCCACGACTGACTCTCCATCAAAACATGTGGTCTCTGTAGTCATTAAGTGACATTAAATGAGTTGTGAAACTCTAGATAAGGGAAGGAAAGTTAACAAAGTAATTCCAATTATTTTCTTAAATAGCAAAAAATAGTAGTGGAGGTGAATAATTATTTTTCTCCCTCCAGAAACAGCTTTTGATTTAAAAACCAAAAAAAACCCCAACCCCAAAACCAAACAGCAAAACCAAACCACACCCCACACCCACTGTCCCCCAGCCCTCACAATTTTTATCACTGACGTTTTTGTTTGACACTAGGTTGTCACATTTTGAGAGAATATTAAGCTAACCCAGGGGGCTCTGAAACCGTGCCTTGCTTAATGTTAGAATTCTGTGTGCAGTTTCTTGATGCCATTATCTAAATGCAGAGAACAAAAGCTTGGCGTTGCCATCCGAGGAACTACAGTGGGACTCACTAGGTAAGGGTCTGACAGCAGCTCACAGTATAAAGCAGAGTTAGTTGAAGTAAAAATAATTCCAGAGAAGAGTATTTGCCACTCTTTCTCTTGCTTGGTGATGTTGTTTTATTGTTTTAAACTGTATCCACAGCTCCAGTTTTGAAGAGTGCAGTTATTGAAAGAAGTTTTAGCTCTTGCATGATTCATGTAGTTGTTATTTTAGCTGGACTTCTACTTTGCAAATATGAGTAAGTCAGGTCATAGTCCGGTACCATCATACTGGCTTTCGAGTGGCCTTACTTGAAGGAAAGGAAATAGTTATAATTATATCAGAGTACTTCAGTGTACCCAGAACATCATATTTTGACAGTCAGCAACTTTGAAATTCTGTATTTAATACATTGCATGAGCTGAACCTGATGTCCTTGATGTTAATTTGAGAAAGAATAGTTAAAGATTTATTGTAGGCCTGAAGTTACTAGCCACAGTTTTGTGCATCATTTATACCTGTCATTTATGTTTGCTATTTTCTTTTTTTTAGAAAGCTGTAGATGAGGTGATGAAGCATGTTCACACCCTCTCAGGGAAAAACGACGGACTAGTGCCTATGTTCATAAACACCAATAGTGGGCAGTTCACTCACTTGGGTGTCTATACTCTGGGAGCCAGGGCTGACAGCTACTATGAGTATTTGCTCAAGCAATGGATTCAGGGGGGGAAAAAAGAAAATGAGTAAGTTCTTCCCACTTCTCCTATTGGTGTGCGAATTATGTGTTGTAGCTTGCTGCTTAAAGAAAAATAATGTATGTGCCCAACAGTCAACTGAGGATACCGCTGTTTTTAAAAGCAAGCTAGGCAAGCAATGAAGGACCTGTGGTAACTGGATGTAAAAACAGCATAAGAGTTAGGCTTGGTCTCAGAACTTCTCAGAAAACTTTTCTTCCTCAGTGTGAGCAGTGTTGCAGACAAGAGAAGAGAATTAAGTCTGTGCAGTAGATGTGGAGCATAATTAGATACTTCTGAAATACTGATGATGCTTCATTTCACCAGTGATGTCTGTGTTTTCTCTGGGTTTGTTAGGGAAAGGTGAATCCTACAAGGTCATTGAGATAGGAGATTTAATCCATAAGGAATAACTTGTCTTAGCAAGGAGGCTGAAGTTTGATGTTTGTGTAAACTTTGCTTAGGTCTCTTATATTTCTCTTATCTGCACTGGATAAGTGGAAGAGAATGTTTGCAAGGAGCAGAGGAATTAGAGATGTTGGGAAAGAAGGTTTCCTCCAAAACGAGACAAGAAATCCAAGCAGTTTTTGTCTGCTTACAAGCTAATTATGTTGGACTTACTCATGCTGAGGGGTTTAATGCATACAGAGAGACAACGCACCTCACTGAGGCATTTCTTCATATCAGAGCAGGAGCATCTCTGTAAAGAAAGTTTGCATCACTGCTTTTTCCAAGCCATACCTCACTGTGAACGGAGAACTGTTGTCTCTGGGACCAGGAACAATGGCATTTTGGGAGCCTCAAAATGGAATTATTCAACAGGGGTTTTCCCACATAAAAGTACTTTGAAACAAGGGAAATTCCAGTTAAATTCTGCAAAACTGTTTCACAGTGGCAATGGCCAGACATTGGAAAAGATTGCTCAGATCATTGAATCTCTATCCATGGTGGAGGTGCTAAAAAATTGCTCAGATGAGCCCTCAGGCAACCTGATCTAATTGAATCTGCTTCAGAGCAGAGGGTTGGACACCTCCAAGAGGTCCTTACCAGCCTAGATTTTCTGTGATTTCAATGACTGTACTTCTAAGGATTCCTGAAATAAAATCTGGTTACTACCTAGAAACAGAGTTGGGGGTATGTTTTCTTAAATAGTTAAATTTGGGGTAAACCAAATATTGCTACCTGGTAGCGATAACTAATTAGTTTCCAGTTGATGGTGACTTTGAGGGTTTTTTGTCAGTTTTCACATTTGGTTAAATATTGTTCTTTAGACTGAAATAACGGTCTCCAAAAGGATTGTGCTGAACATGAGCTATGATTAAATGTGTTCTGACTGCATGTATGTGAGCCAACTGGGAATAATTTTAATTCACAGGCTGTTGGAAGACTATATGAGAGCCATAGAAGGAGTGAAAAAGCATCTTCTTCAGAGATCACAACCCAAGAAGCTTACTTTTGTAGGAGAGCTTGCTCATGGCCATTTCAGTGCCAAGATGGTAAGAAGTACAACTGCATTTGAAAGAATAACAAAACAAAACAGAAAAGCCACTACCAAAAAAAAAAAAAAAATCAACATATCAGCAGGCAAATGCAAAGCTTCTGTGCTGTCTTTCCCCCTTCCCCTCTCCAAAGAAAAAACCCAAGCCAACAAAAAGAAAAGACCAAGGCTATACATATAGCTGGTTTGATAGCAGTACTGAGTAAATAGTTTGTAGATACTAGTCAGCTGTGCAAACCAGGGGCCTCCTCTTTGAGTTACTCCAGTAAATCCATTTATGTTCCTGTAAGACTGAACATTTTGGTGCTGGTGTCAAATTTTCTTTGTCTTTTTTATTTGTTTTGGCCATAAAATTCCGATGTCTGTATCTGTTGAGGCAGTGCCTATTTTATGTATTTATTTTCCATAATTAAAAATAATGTGGACACTTGCACACCTGGCTTTTCAGATTTGCCTTCAAAAGAAACAGGTGATCTAATATTGTGTTACTGGGTCAACCCACCCCCCCCTTGATAATTTTGGAGGGTTCTGTCCATTCATGACACGTTTCTTTTCCTGCATGTAGGATTATTGAGTAAACCAGTATGCTGATTGATCTTAACTCCCTGCTCTTAATTTGTGCATCCATACTCTTTAAAATACTCTTAATCTTTCAGTTCAGGATCTCATGCAACAGCAGGTATCGTGTGTGTGTGTGTGTGTCTTTTTGTTAAGATGAGCAGTGTATTATTAATGTCTGTGTAGCCTTATGGGCGCTTTAGTGAAGCCTCAAGTGAGCTTTGGTGAATTCTTTGACTTGTTTGGTTTCTTGATGTAGTCTTTTTGAGATGTCCAGTTCTGTGTTTCAGCACGTGCTTCTCATATCTGAATTTCCCAGAGGCTCTCCAAACCTGCTGTGAGCAAGACTGGGGTCTGGGTTTTGGGTAGAGGGGGCTCCCCCATCCCAAGGTAGGACAGAATTGAATTCGGACAGGTAGATTTGGCTTAGGTTTCTGCATGTGTCAGTACATACACTTGCATCTGTTCCAGGGAGTCAGAGTTTTGGTATTTAATCAATTATTATTGGGTGAAAGGCTTGACGGGTATCCTACCCTGGCCAACTGGTAAAGTGGGGGATGTTCAACAAGTCTGTGTTGACTTTCACCACCCTCAACCATTTCTTTAGGACTGGACAAAGCTTTTAAAGGTCCATACAGGTGCTACTTGTGCACCAGAGTGTTTTTACTGTGGTTTTGGATGATGGCATTTCATGTCATTTCATTCTGAATGGTAAGATTAATTTGAAATGCCGTATGTTACATTAATTTGTAATTCTTACATTCACAGTATCAGTGGTGGATTAGCCCCTGGAGGAGGACAATCAGTCTTGTATTGCAAACTGAATTTTGCCGGAGAAGAGTTTAGGGCATTTTATACAGTCTGTTTTCTGATGTGTTCTTCCACTGATGTTGACGATTGAGCTTTCTTGGAAAGTTAACTAAATTAATCTTGATTGTTTACAAATGTTGCACAGGTCCTGAAGTAATACCACTACTCTTGTCCTTTGAACAAGTTGTTTGCTGTAGCGAGTAAAGGCTAAGAAACAAATGTCCCTGTGGTCCTTTCATTGCTGCTGCTGTCTTGGGAAAGCAAGCAGGAAGGCTCTTTGCCCACTGTCCTCAAGTTCCCCCCCCCATACATACGCGAAGGGCCAGCGATGTTTTGTTCAAGGTGCCTGATATCTGTGGTGTTCAGCTGGCTGTAAACGAGAGCAAGCCTAGGAGAGCTGGTGGTGTGCATGGGAGCCAGCTGTACCCCATACTTTCTATAGAAACGGTGCTCTTACATCTTTGGTGCTCTGTAGACATGAAGGGTAATAGCTTTTGATTTCCTCAAATAATAATGTTGCAAGAAAGGTGCAGGCTTTCAGGTTGAAAGCTTATCCATGCTTTCCAGTTGTATCAGTGGATCTGGTGATCTCTGCAGATGTTGTCTCTCTTAAATAATGCCAAGGTGATTATTTCAGAATGATGAAAATCTCCTTCAGCTGACCTCTCCGCCTTCTCCAAAGCTTTGTTTTCTGTGGCTGACTCCCATCTCCGTTCCATTTTAAGTTTAAAATTAAATTTGGGTTATCAGTTTGTCCCTTTAGGTGTCTCTATTGAGAAACCTCTAGGTGATTCTGCCCACCCCCCTTCATGAGTTGGTATGAAATGGATACTTCTGGTAAACCAAAAGACCCTCTCTTCCCCCTTGCCCGGACTTGAGACCTTTTTTCCAGAAACTTGATGTAAAAACAGTCTTTTACATTTTCCAAATTAGTGATGTCTCTGTAGTGGTGCTGCCTGCCTCATGCTACATTGCATGAGATTGTTAAAAGTTACCCTGAGGTTCTTGCGACCTGAAATGTGTTTTGAAAAGGAGAAAGAAGGGGAAGAAGGGGGGGGGGGAGGGGAAGACACACATATAGGGACACAGAGAGGCACACACACACAAAAATACCTGTTTGTTGTGTAATTTTTTTTTTCTCCAGTAAGAGTTGTCTTGTCTTGCAGGATCACTTGGTTTGCTTTTTGCCTGGCACGTTGGCACTGGGAGCTCACAATGGATTGACTGCTGATCATATGAAATTGGCTGAAGCCCTTACAGAAACCTGTTACCAGATGTACGCTCAAGTAGAGACAGGCCTGAGCCCAGAGATCGTGCACTTCAATCTTCATGCACAAAACGGCCACAAAGACGTGGAAATCAAGGTGAACAGATAGGTGCCCTGAACTGTAACTTACGATTCTTCTGCTGTTGACACTCCCAGACCGATGTTGGGGATGTGCTCTGTTGTGGAGCAGCTTGTTTTTTTGCCGCCTCACTTTCTAGGTGTACCCCCGCCTTTTTTTTTTAATTACCCCTGCAGTGTGTTTAGAAGCTGAGATACACAAAATAAACTCTTTGGAGTAGGTGGAGATGGGAATCACAATTTTCCTTCCTGCATGTGTCCTTGAGAAAATTCCCTGCCTGAATTATTCTTGCCTTTTTTTTTTTTCTCTTGCAGCCTGCAGACAGGCACAACTTACTGCGACCAGAAACTGTGGAAAGCCTTTTTTATATGTACAGGTTCACTGGTGATAAGAAATACCAAGACTGGGGCTGGGAAATCTTGCAGAACTTCAATAAATACACACGGGTAAGGTCAGCTTATAACGACTGTGTTCTGTCAGGACTGTACTCACTCACTTGCTCTCTGACAAGAAATTTGGAAACCTACTGTCCTTCGAGAGTCCTCAGATACCCGTGGGGAGATTCGTAAGAACACACAGAAAAAAATCAGTTCATGCAGTGCCTTACAGTTTGAGATATACTACTTCGTACCTTCAGGGAAAGAACTTGTGTTAATTGATTAAAAAGTAAAAAGCTGTATGCAGACGAGTGAATTGTCTCTGGGAAGCTGGTGGAATCTCTGCTGCGGTCTTTTTTAGAATTTGGAAGATGAGAAGGACCCGGCTGTATTGAAAGAACCCTTTGGCTGAAGTTGCCAGAAAATAAATTGCCACAAAATGGCATTAGGGCTTTAATAGAGAGGGGTTTTGTATTCATTCTGACTACAGAGCTCGTGGGGATGTCACTCTGAGATGCTGTGCAGGAGGGGCCTAGATGCCAGTGTCATTAAATACCCATGGTCTGTTCCTGAGAAAAGAGATGCAGCACTTTGACCAGCTCAGGTGCAGAAACTGCACAGGTTACTTTCTGTACATTTGTCCAGAACCTTCAGGGGGATGTTCTTTGTGATCCCTCTTTACATGAAGCATAAATGGACATTTTGCTTCATTTTATCCTCAGGGTTTCTGTTAAATGCAATGAGATTTTTTTTTCATAACTGCAGTTTTATCTGCAAGAAGAACAAATATGAAATGAAAACCATGCTGATCCGTTTCTTAGCACTTACTTTCTTCAAGTGCATCTGGATGTTAAGAAGTGAAAATAATTTATTGTAGATTATCAAAATAAACAAAATTTCTGCTTTTTTTTTTGGCACAGGTTCCTACAGGTGGTTATACTTCCATTAACAACGTCCAGAATCCCAGTAATCCAGAGCCACGGGATAAGATGGAGAGCTTCTTCCTTGGGGAAACACTCAAGTACATGTTTCTGCTGTTTTCAGACGACATAGACTTAATCAACCTTGACAAATATGTATTTAACACAGAAGCTCACCCGCTCCCGATCTGGGTGCCAGCATAGACTGGGTGTCAGTGGACCTTCCAATGGTGACATTTTAACCTTCAAGTCACTTTACTTTTCAGGGTTTGAGGAGAGATGCTCAATTGCACCTTTTTTGGCTTCAAACAAAACCTTTGGGAAAGCATCTCTGGTTTGGAGAAGTCATGTCAGTCTTAAGTCTAATCCCTGGTTTGGGATGGACAGGCTGTGCCATACTAAGCTGGCTTTCCTGGTATTGATGATGAGGTTCAGAGAATAATTGTAGTGTGGACCATGACATTCACGGGGCTCTAGTGAACCAGAACTCACGTCAGTCTTACAAAATGCTCATCAAATACCGGGAATGCAGCAAGTTGTCTTACAGCACAGGTTGTCCCTGGAGAGAAGGAATAAGCCTCTGGGTTTCTGGTTTATTCTGGATTCACTGAAACACTTGGTTACAGTGCCATTCCTCCATAAGAACTGGTAGTGTTTCAGGTGGTAAGTGGAATAAACAAAGGACTGTAACGTTGTTCCAGGTAGAAGCAAAGCTGTCAGTATTCCTACTGATGCTCTGATCTCATTCCAGACTACCGAGCTATGCTGCATCATGCCAGAAGGGAGTGGCAGCAAAGCACCTGTTGTACAGTGTCTTAGTTTTATAGAGCACTTTGAACGATCTGTTCAAGCTGTGGCTGAAATGAATGGTGGGAGAGAATTTGCTGCTGGTCTGGCTCAAAAGTGGTATATAATTTTGTAGAGGTATTGCAGTTTTTTAACTTATCTAATGCAGGAGATAATGTGAAACGCAAGTGGAACTACACATGCATTTTGTATATTATTTGCATCAGTTAGACTCAGGTATTCTGACTGAAAGCTGCTTTATGAGGCTGGGCACTGGGAAAGCTGGTGAGCTGGGTATGATCTGATGTCGGCCTCCTTCCATCCCTTCCGGTCCAGGCATTGCATTGTAAAGTGTTCACTGACTCAAATGTACGATTGTACAGCAGAGTTCATGTGATTCTTCATTGTTTGGACTGTGGAGAAATTTTCAATTTTTATTTTTTTTTTTTTTTGTTTCTCCTGAGCAGTGCTTTGGGTAGAAGTGTTTTCATCAGCAGTGTTAAAAGCAGACGGTCTAAACGTATTACAGCAATTCCTGGTCCAGTAGGGTTAGTGAACTCTGTTCAGTTGCTTGAAGATAAAGCAGACCCAGTTTTCTTTTTTTCTTTTAAGAATCTCATGGTAGCTCTGGGATCTTTTGGTTTGATATGTGCAAATAGGTTTTAAAACATGAATTTGGAAATCAGCTTTCTGTAGTGCTTTTCCTTTTGGTTTTGTTGCTACTCGGACAGTCCTTTATTCACAGATTCTCAGAAATGTGCTCGTTATATCTCTTAAAGAGGTTGTTCTCACCAAAACGTCCTTCCCCTCACATTAATGGGTGCAGTGGCAAGTATGCAGGTGCGTGGTAGCAGCAGTGAAGGTCCAGTCCCCTCTGAATCTTGGGCTGCTAAGTGGAACTAATTAAATCTGACTGTAATCCTCTGGTGGCTGAGGGGGGTATGCATATTTTATAGTATTTGTAACCTTTGATTTGTTTTATGCTGATCAGTTCCGTTTGCTGGAGTTACCCTTGGGACCACTATTTAAATCCTTTACAGAATATTTACCATTCCATGATGGTTTATGGAAACGGAGACATTTTACAAATTATTTCAATGCACCTTTTTCTGTCATCAGAGGGACCCTGGGACTTGCAAGACACAATGGGTTTGTGCAGGATGTCAGTGTTCCTCCAGTTCAGGTGCCACCAGTAACCCTGGCAGTCATTTTCTTTGTGTGTGCGGTGGAAGCCAGTAACTGTAGCCATTGTCTGCACGACCAGTTTGCTCCTACGACTTTTGTTTCCTTTGACATAACAGCCAAGAAGGAAAATGCTGTTAGAATGTGGGAGGAAATACCTTCACTGGTTTTGTTTGTGGAGCAGCTTCGTGTTTCTGAGGAGTTGAGCTTTCACTACAAGCTGAAGGCTTAGAACTGGAGATTAAAAAAAAGAAAGAAAGAGAAATTTCGTGAGGCTACCCAGGCCCTGCTGCTTTACACTGCTTTGGCTTTGTGCCTTCCATTGATGCTCATATCGAACCCTTAAGTAATGACTTTGCTATGGATTGTAAAACTTCCAGAGTTTGGCATTTCACCTGTGTGGCAGCCCTGAGGAAACAGAGATTTCTCAGAGAGTGGGATACATACAAATACTCACCAAAAATCTTAAGTCTTAAGCTAGTCTGAATAGAATTGACTCTGCAAATGAGACCATGGGGGGCTGTTACAATTTTCTTGCCTTATGATAATAATCCATTTCATAATGAGTTGAAGGAGAGAAGAATGAATCGTCCCTTTCCCAGACATGCTTCTTGTCTTTAGCTGAGCCTGTTGGCCTGGCTGATTTCTTTTCTACCTAATTCGTCCTGGAAGCTGAGTCTCTTTGCAAAGTGTGGCTTTACTGTCCTCATCCTTTAAATCTGAAGTTAAAACTGTTCAGCTCGCTCTACCTTTGAGAACAAATGCTTGTGTCACATGTGGAATGGCACAAACCTAGATGACCTGATGAAAGCTCATCTGCTTCTTCCTGTTCTTTTGCCAAGGTCACTTTAATGACTTGCTTATTTTTACTTCCATAACATAGTATGTTGTGTCAGATGAGTATCTGAGCTTCACAGCCCTTCTCAATTACACTGTGCGCTCCCCAGCACAACAGCAGCTTTGCTTTCTTTCAGGTACTCTGGGGCTCATTCAACCACAGCCGTCACTGCGGGTCTGCAATCCATTCTGGTGTTTCAGCGTACTGGCACGCTGCTGATCCCTGAGTCGTGGAGCAGAGAGGCTGCCTGTTCAGCCAGTGATTCTGTCCTTTTGCACAAAGAGCTGCCTTGGTTTCTCTCCAAGAGCTTGAGTGCCTTGCTTAATTAAACTAAAAACCCCCAAACAAACCAGCCCCACCCAGCTACACTGTTCAGTTAGGCCCTCACTGAGAAACAAACGGGTACGGGCACAGCCAGTGGGTGCTGCATGGCTGCAGGGCTTGGAAGTCTCATGCTCCAGGCTTTAAGCCACAGCTCAGAAAAAAACCCCATGTTTGCTCAAAGCCAATTCAATAGATGAATGGGGCCACAGCTAGCACCTAATCCCTGGCCTTCCTGAGAACTGAAGTCTCACTACAAGCCTTAGAAACTGGCAGGTTTGCAGGGTCCGTGGTATGGGCTGACAAGGCCCCTCTGGGTTTCACATGGCTTCCTGTTAGCAGGATTTCTCAGCATTACATGCAGAGCTCGGATACAGCTGTATTTACTCCTCCAGATATTAGTCAAGGAATTTGCTCTGTTTCCTGCTCTGTTGCTGTGTGACATGGCAGCGGTGAGGGATGTGGGCAGGATGGGTTTGTCCAATGAACACATTTACAGAGTTTTGTGAAATTTCTCCTGCCCCTTAAGGCTACTTCCCTTCATCCCAGACATGCTTCTTGTCTTTAGCTGAGCCTGTTGGCCTGGCTGATTTCTTTTCTACCTAATTCGTCCTGGAAGCTGAGTCTCTTTGCAAAGTGTGGCTTTACTGTCCTCATCCTTTAAATCTGAAGTTAAAACTGTTCAGCTCGCTCTACCTTTGAGAACAAATGCTTGTGTCACATGTGGAATGGCACAAACCTAGATGACCTGATGAAAGCTCATCTGCTTCTTCCTGTTCTTTTGCCAAGGTCACTTTAATGACTTGCTTATTTTTACTTCCATAACATAGTATGTTGTGTCAGATGAGTATCTGAGCTTCACAGCCCTTCTCAATTACACTGTGCGCTCCCCAGCACAACAGCAGCTTTGCTTTCTTTCAGGTACTCTGGGGCTCATTCAACCACAGCCGTCACTGCGGGTCTGCAATCCATTCTGGTGTTTCAGCGTACTGGCACGCTGCTGATCCCTGAGTCGTGGAGCAGAGAGGCTGCCTGTTCAGCCAGTGATTCTGTCCTTTTGCACAAAGAGCTGCCTTGGTTTCTCTCCAAGAGCTTGAGTGCCTTGCTTAATTAAACTAAAAACCCCCAAACAAACCAGCCCCACCCAGCTACACTGTTCAGTTAGGCCCTCACTGAGAAACAAACGGGTACGGGCACAGCCAGTGGGTGCTGCATGGCTGCAGGGCTTGGAAGTCTCATGCTCCAGGCTTTAAGCCACAGCTCAGAAAAAACCCCCATGTTTGCTCAAAGCCAATTCAATAGATGAATGGGGCCACAGCTAGCACCTAATCCCTGGCCTTCCTGAGAACTGAAGTCTCACTACAAGCCTTAGAAACTGGCAGGTTTGCAGGGTCCGTGGTATGGGCTGACAAGGCCCCTCTGGGTTTCACATGGCTTCCTGTTAGCAGGATTTCTCAGCATTACATGCAGAGCTCGGATACAGCTGTATTTACTCCTCCAGATATTAGTCAAGGAATTTGCTCTGTTTCCTGCTCTGTTGCTGTGTGACGTGGCAGCGGTGAGGGATGTGGGCAGGATGGGTTTGTCCAATGAACACATTTACAGAGTTTTGTGAAATTTCTCCTGCCCCTTAAGGCTACTTCCCTTCAGCTGTGCACTCCTAGCAGTGACCCTTCGGGCAGAAGCTCCTCATTTCCAGTGCCACGCAGTATATTTAGCAAGACTGGGTTAAAATGCCATTTAAAGACCATTTAAAATGCCGGGGTAGCTCCCTGGTGCTGCCTGGCAAGCTTACTGCTGCAACAGAAGGTTTAAGAGTTTTCTGACTTTGGATTCGGCAGGAATGGCTTGCGTTTTTGTCTCTGAAGTATTGCTAGAACTCAGTGGCAAAGTTTGGAGGCCTCTGCTTCCACTAAAACCCTGAGTACATCAGAAACAGATGACTGGCACTGCCAGGAAAACCTGCTGATTTGCATGATCCGTTTTCAGGCTCTGACGTAACGGCGTGTGACCAGAGCCACTTCCTACCATTCTGTGCCACCTTCCCATGTTGGCCACGCGCCTCGTGCTGGTGTGTGATGATGAATGAACGAGCTTTTTTCCCAACACCCCCTGGGTACAGGTCATCAACCAGCATGGGGCTTCACCCATGGATGGTGCTCTGAGCCCCATACTCCCTGCCTGCCCTCCATGTTCCTGTTGTGCTCCCTGGAGTTCAGCCATGAGCAGCATTCCTGAGATGAGTGGTGGCTGCTGCTGCTGGGCTCTTTCCTTCCACTCGGGGGGCACCACACCACCAGGGTTTTCTGCTTAGATCCTGTTCTTCCTTGCCCAAGGCTTCAAAACGTTACGGACGTTTGTGGCACTGGCTTCAGGCTTCTGCCACAGCTCCTGAAATCTGGTTTTGTAATTATTTTTAGTGCTGCTCATCTCTCATCTGCATGGAGGTCCCTGTCTTGCTTGTCGCTTTGCTGTAGCATCTTAAAGTCTTTAGTTCCTCCTTCCGTATAAATCAAACCGTTTGCGTCCCTCACGCTGCGTGGATTCCTTTGGGCCAAGTACTATCTGTGAGAGGAAGATTAGAGATCAGTATAGTCCATGATAAGGGGTTTAAAGAACTCTACCCTTCTGGAAGGTCAAAAGACCCCTGGGCCTCTGTTTGCTCAAAGGCACAAAACAAGCCCGGGACGAAGGCGGTGGCTTGCAGATGACTTTCCAAAGGGCTCCTCCTGCATGTGGCTGCTCTAATGCACTGCTGGGTTGGTGTAATTAGAGCGCCTGCTTGCTGGGAGCTAAGGATGCTGTAAGGTAATATAAGCAAGATGTAATCCTCTCTGCAGACACAGCCACCGCTGTCTGCCTTTTTTAATGTGGTGCTAGTCCTGAATAATTGCTGGGGTACAGCAGATCTAAATTCAGAGAAGTCAGGGGGTCTGGGAGCATGGAGGGTCAATACCAGATTCCAGCAGCTCAGTAAGGCTCGAAGCGGCAGCCTTGTAGGAGCTGCAGTTTTGGCAACAGACCTGAAGCCTGGCTTCAGCATGAGCCAGAGGGGGTTTGAGCAGAGGTGTAGAGGTTTTCATCAGCACAAACGGAGACGACGGCAGTCGTCTTGAGGGTGTCGTTTCACTCGCAGTCTTAATGTGTTCTTCTCTGGGGGCTGGAGTGTGACTGACCGGGTCTTCTGTGCACTGTCCTGCATTTGTATGCACCTGAAAGCTCTGGTGAATGGATTTTGTCTGTTCCTGCTCTTTCCATGCTCCTCAGCTGGGGGGGGCATGGGGAGCAGAAGGTTTGGCCTTTTGTGCCTAAGAACAGGGAAGAGCCAAGCGGGTTGTATGCAAATAAACTTTTTGTGATCACCCAAATATTGTGAAATAACATCAGCGACTGGCACTGTAGCTCCAGGAACTGATCCCACTGCGATGGTGGGGAGGACTCAGCAGTGCAAATACCCAACACAAAGCCCCATGTTTGAGCAACGTCACAAAGCTGGAGCAATGCGGGGACTTTGCCTTTGCTGACCTGGGAGGCTTCTCCGCTAACTCATAAAATCATTGTAAATGGATCAACTGAGGCACCGACTGATTACCAGGAGTTAATATTTTTGCAATTATGCTAATATTTATTGGTGCGTAGTAATTCCAGTAGATAAGAACCCACCTGTTTCTGTGCAGAGTTTACTCCACCTGGGAAGGTGAGAAGCATCCTTTTTTATCTTCTGTGGTTATACTACCGAGCTGTGAAATTATATCACACACTTTAATAAACTTGTAATTTATTTTAAAAAGATGGGCAGATGACTTGAGTGGATGTGTGCTTTACTGATGACTACTGCGCAGTTCCTGAGTGACAGCAGTACACATCAGGGTTACTTTGTGTAACGCTCCAGCTCAGCAACCAGAGACCTCTTGCGCAAGTTGAAAACAAACAAAAAAACCCCAAACCCCCAGCCCTGGATGAGGCAGAGTCTTTTTTATGTAACTGGTCACTAGTGGAGTCCCCTGTCAACCTGTGTAATGAAGGACCGTGACCGTACCCCTGCTTTTCCACTAGTCAGCTGATACTTACTTTTGTCTAAAAATAATTTAGCTTCAACCTTAAGGTGCTTCCTGCAACCAGGCTGTTCAGGACAGCGATGAGTCCTGGGCCTTCCAGGGAAGCTTTATAATGCCGCCTCATTCTGAGGAGGTGAGCGTGAAACCCACACGAGGTGGTTTTGGCTCCAGTCAGTGATTTGGCCTTTTGCTTTTCTTTGATGCTTGGTTTGGGGCAGGTGGGACACTTCAGAAAGGTGAATTCCACCATCAGGGCAGAAGAGGGAATGCTCTCAAACAGCACAGGCACAGCTCAGCAGGCTGCTGCCCTTCTGCGTCCCAGTGGCAGCCTCACACCCCTGCCAGAGGCCATGGGGACAGATGTGTTCACAGCCCTCTGCCCGCTGAAGCTCCTGAGCGCTTCTCCTGGGCTCCTTCCATCCCTGCAGATTTCACCCAGCCATTGATGATGCTCGCCTCGAGCTTGCGCACCTCGGTGACGGATGGGGGATCAGCGGGGTTGTGTCCCCTAGAGAAAGCAGAGCAGCAAGAGGATGTCAGCAGGGAGCAGCCCCTTCCCTGTGCAAGAGGCAGTGCCAAGCCAGGGAACTGAAGGACAGAGATTGTCGGGTTTGTGCTTCGTATTTATGCCCTGGAATCCAAGTTACTGTGTCACACCCACCGGGAGGCTGGCTTGAGAGCCCTGAGCTCTCCCTCGCATCAGTGGCTGCTGCCCTCTCTGCTCCGGGCCTGAAGGCTGATGGCCAATGCCAAGAGATGCTGGACTACTTCAGGCAACTGACTGCTGCAGGCTACTGAAGCTTGTGCCAATCCCTGGGCAAGAACATGTTCTGATGAACGTATGTGAGCTTAGTGCTGAGCTCTGTGCAGCCCTGCCTCCCTGCAGGCTGTAATATCCTGGTACTGGGGAGGAGGATTGCTCTCCCAATTAGGCTGCAGCAGTCTGGTACCCAGTTCTCTTTTAAGTAAAGCCTCTCCTGCTTCTTTGAACCGTGGCCAGTGAAGATCAAATACCCAGGGCAGGAGAATTTTGTCAGCCAAAGGAGAGTTCAGGACTTACCGGAGATCCAGGTGATGAGCGCCTCCTCTAACGGTCAGTGCGATTAGTGAAGGACTGAGGCTCCTGTTTATCTGGGAGGGAAAGGAGCAGAGATAAATGCTCACCACGGCACCAGGCAGAACTGGGCATCAGTTCTGAAAACTGGAAGATGAGCTGGGTAGGACTGAGGCAAAGCAAGAGATCCTCTGTATGGCTGACTTTGTCTGCATGGCTGATGGGCCTAATGAGCCAAATCATCTCTCTCAAATGAAGTGAAGGCTCCCCCCCACACACCCCAAGATGAGAACTGTCAGCCTGTGCCAGCACAGGCGGTTGGCAGTAACGGGCGCCTTTGGGCCCACGCTCCCTGAGCAGCCTGGTCCTCCTGCAGCTGGGACTGCCAAGCCAGCCTGAAATGAGGAACTCCTGCACTGCAGTCAGGAGCTCAGCTAACTCAAAATCCAGTTCTAGGTCATTTTTGGTTTTAAGTGTTAAACTAGAGCTCTGCCACCACACTGAAGTTTTGTTGAACCTAAACCAAAATACGCCCTGGGTCAAGTTGCTGCTTACAGCAACTGCTCGGTCTCACAAAGTACGCTGAGATGGGAGACAGCGAGGAGCACTTGGCTGTCGACACTGAGACCAAGTCTTGACGCAGCAACATGATGGGTTGTGGTTCAGACCCCAGGCGCTGGCTCAGGAGGCTCCTGCTGTGTCTGTGGTGGCGACACCACCTTTCCTGCAGCAGCGTTCCTGCCTATGGACACTAAGTACGTCCCGTAAAGTCCCGAGGCTCCTGAATAGTTCTGCATAAACCAGCTGCTTGCAGAAGCTCAGATGGGCTAAAGACAAATCGCCAGGGCTGCTCTGACAGGGAGAGGGGCTGATGTGTCACCCGGGGAGGCTGCGCTCTGCTCAGTGTGCAGGTGTGCACATGCTTACCCCACCTCCGGCCCACGGGTCCAAGTCTCCATTTGAAAAAATGATGTTGCTTGCACTTTCCAGATCTGAAATTCAGAGATGACATTTGAGAGGCCTCCTCCTGCCCATTTACCCAAACGCATCTGGCTAGCGCAGCAAACATGGCCAAGAACAGAAAACAGAGGAGAATAAAGCAGTTTTTAGGTTTTCTACTTCTGTCCCAGGGAGGTACAGAAAGGTCTGTTTGGCTCAAGTCAGCACAAGGCTGTGACTTTCTGCCAGGACTCATTAGTGCACGGTGTCTGTCCCCACGGAGCTGGGCAGAGGGGGGACAGGCAGATGCCTACAGGATAATGCAAAGGGAGGAGCAGCCAGCACAACTCACCTCCTCCCCAAAAGTTTGTCTGCAACCAATGTGCTCGTGGCCTCACGCGCCATTTGCTCCAGCAGTACTGTTCCCGCATGGCCTCTGTGAAGGGCATCTCGGGGAACATGTCGGTCACATTGTTACTGTTGAAAGTTAAGTTGATCTCGGTGCAAACCTAAGAGAGGTGCAAGAGCTGTGACAGGGCGGGGGGATAACCAGGGCGGCAGCTGAACCTGTTGGTGTCTCAACACCTTACCTGGTAGTCCCAGGCCTCAGCGTCTGAGCCGATGCCGCAGCCTGTGGGGTCAGCGCAGGACTGGTACAGCTGGTATATGTCATAACATGGTGCTGAGCCAGAGGAGTTGTAGAACACCCCTGCCAGGTGGGAACACAGCACAAAGCCAACATGTCAGCCATCACTGCTCTTGTGGCCGAGCCTCATGGCCAAGCGGGGGGGGCAGCTATCTCAGCCGGGCAAGCACGTAAGGCTGCGGCAGAGGTAGCAGGGGCTGCCCCAGTGCTGGGTTACGATCCCAACTTCGTGCCAAAGTCCTCACACAGTCTTATGCCTGGCTGCATGAGACCCTTTGCTTCCACTGTATCCATGGGGAGGAAGAGGCTCGCAGCCAAAAGCCAAGCGACTGGCTCACTGGTCCTTGAGAGAGCCCCAGCCTCCAAGCCCCATGCACCCAGGAGCAGGCTGCCTACAGGACACCAGCAGAGTGCTTGAACTGAATGGGGCACAACTGCCGAGACCTTCCCACCGCCTCCCTGAAAGTAGCTGTTGTCTGAATGCATCAAATTCAGTTAGCGGGCCAAGAGCGGCACGTCACAGACAGCGTTTTGTTTGACTGTTGTTCAAGAAGGGAAAGGCAGCGTGTGCAGGCTTGCCCAGATGAAAGAGCCCCTGACCAGGCGGCCCAGCGAAGCATTGCTGGGGAGCTGCAGAAGAATGAGCTGCTTTTTGTGCAGACGGGTAGTTACCGATAGCGAGGAGGAGGAATGTGGCTAAGCCCGTGGGCGGGGGGCGCGCG